TTGTAGGGGAGTTTTATGTCGATTTTCTCTCAAGTATTCAGTGAAGAGTTGTTCTTCCTTTATTTCGGATTTTGCTCTTTTCTTTGAAGCTTCTCTGAATGTGGTTTGTTTCCGTACTATGCTACCCACTTACATTGGCCCCTGCTGATTTCGCCCCAATGTTGGGCCTGTTCGATGGCCCATCAACATTTCTCCCTTAACTCATTAAAAAGGCCCACCTTCTGCAACATAAGACCTCACGGGCCTCCATCTGAACCAGCGGTCTGCCCAGTCTGCTGGTTCAAATGAAGACCTGCCCCAAGTTGTTGGTCCATCTCTCCATATTTTAAAATACTTGGCTGACCATTGAAATCCCTAGCCACCACCAGTGCAAAGGTCTAACCACGCGTCTGACCAGAACTTTTGTCATTTCCCTCTTTGTAGCTTTCTTGTGGTAAGACTGGTTTTCCAGAAATTTGTGTTGCCATTTTTTGTAACTTCCAACTGCATCTGATTGTCCCAATCTTTTCGTGTCATGTAAGTCATCTTCTTCAAACTTCTCATCTCCCTCTCTGTGTTCTTCCCTCCTAAACTCTGCTTCAATGGAGGTAACGAGCTACACCGAGTAAAACTCTGTTTCAAACTTCGCATCCACTAACAACATGGCAGCTGAGAAAAGGTCTCTAGTAAAGATTCCTTCTAAAACACCTCCACACAAAGCAGCCAATGCCGTAAAGATCTCAGTCTTCCACAGATGGAACAGCAATCCTAGCAGCAGATGAACTGTAGTCCCTTTCTCCATGTTCACTGATTTCAAGTTTGCTATTGGAGACCACTTTGCGACTGTAACTTGACCAGCCTCTATTGGAATGCAAACAGTTCTTAAATCCAACCTATCCTCCACTAATTCAAGGAAGGCTCTGCGCCTTTGTGCTTCTCGATAGGGGTTACTATTACTGTACCTTTCAAGTGTAAGTTTCTTATTATCACTTGTGCAACCTTGTTCCAATCTTCTATCTTATCCATATTTTGAATCACCCATTTTTGCTCCCATTCCTTCTTGTCCCGGGTCAAGGCAATATTTCCTCTTACCTACTATGCATTCCGATCCCTGTTGACTTTCTATCTCCTCAATGGTCTTCTTCTCTGATTCTTCAGTTCTTTCCACTGTCATCATTTTGTCTTTACCTAGGGCCCCGGTCTCCTATAACACCTTCAGCACTGCATTCGAACCTTCTCGTTTTTTTTTATAAGAAAAAAAGATTATCTGCTTCTTGCCATGGCTGAAGTTCTCGACCAGAGTAATTAAAGTTCCCTTCGTATTCCACCTCAACTTAGCACTGAACTCTCTTCCTTCTAATGACTTCATGCTGTACCGTTCCCTTTCTCTACGGCTGTACCTCATGCTGTACCTCAACTTAACACTGAATATAAACAGTTTATCTTCGACCTTCAGGAATCTTCTCCAATGAGCTTTGCTCTGCCCAGTCCCCCATCTCCCTCAACCGGTTTCATGCCAATTCTAACTATTATCCCATATTATTATGATTTTGTTCTCTCTCCTTTTTTTTTTTCTCCGGTATAATATGGTCATGATTTCATATTGTCTTTAAACAAAACCTGTGATTTTTGGAACTTCTATTTCCTTAGGACTTGGCAAGGCGAACATGTTGAGTGTTCACCCATACTTGTTTTTGGCTAGTAGAATGAGGAGTTCAACTGTGGTTCTGTTTCAGTTATTTGTTTTGCAGTCCATTTCATATCATCCATTAGGCTTTGTTTGTTTGCAATGCAAATCTGAACCAGATATAGATTTTGCTCCTTGTTCAGTTTTGCATCCATTTGGTTGTGACTATGATTTGCAGGCCTAACTAATGCAAAATTTGTACTGTTTGTCTTATTGGTACTTATTTGCAGTGCAAAGTTTTCATCTAAAAAGCTGATGCAAAATTTGCACCATCTTCTCATATGAAATGGGGACTACATTTTGCTTGTCATACTCCACCTTTTTTTCATATGAAGTGGGATCACATCATTTTACTTCTTACAAACAAAAACAACACAACCTCAAATCCAAAACAAGAGTAAACCAGAATTTAGACTTTAAACCATTTGCACTTCCATTCATTTACATCTGTGCAAATGAAATTTGCATAGCAAACAAACAGAGCCCTCTGTTAGCGGTGCACATCTGAACCTGATACAAGTTTTGTATTTGGTTCAATTTTGCATGTTTGTTTGTCATTATGATTTGCACTTATATCTGAATAAAAATGTATTTTCTGTCCGATTTGCATTTACTAGCAATGCAAATTTTGCTTTGCAAAAAGCTGATGCAAAATTTACATCACCTTCCTAGTTCCTATCTCCTCTCTCTCTCTCTCTCTCTCTCAAGATGGGGACCACATCATTTTGCTACCTCCCAAATAAATAACCTTCTTACCTCAATTCTCTTTCATATAAAGTGGAGACCATTTTAGTTCTCACAAACAAATAGAAGACAGTTAAATCTAAAGCAAAAGTAAACCAGAAATTACACTTAGTCTGTTTGCCCCCCATGCATTTATACAAATTCACACTGCAACTGAGCCTTATGGAATTAAGTAAGACTTCAAAGTTTGTCATGTTAATTGGTTAGAGGCTATATATACTACTTTAAAAAGTACGAATAGCCTCAAGAATATTTTTGGAATTTTCTAAGGACAAAATTTACCCCTCTATATTTAAATTTATTGATAAAAAAATGAGGGCAAATAGGGTAATTGGTTCTTGATATTAAATGAATTGAAAAGAGGTAATTTAAAGATATTCAATGCATTCAATTCTCTCTCCTTAAATCCAATATTTGAGTTATTAACTTGCATTCATGTTCATTGAATCATATATTTAAGTCATTTTTATTTCTTCTCATCATTAAGTTCTATTAATTAAATCCATACTTAATAAATTAATAATTCTAATACCATAAAAGCTTATACTTTTAAAATCTACCTAGAAAAAATAGTGTTTTCATCTAAGTAGTGGTAAGAAATTAAATCATTTTGGGTCAAATGGATTAATCCATGTTGCCACGATTAAATAATAGATAAAATGAAAAAAATAGAAATTAAAAAAATTGGAAACATTTTTAACATACATAGTAAACAATAATGAGTATGATAAATAAGAAATGTTTTTATTAATGATGAAAATGAAATGTAAAATTTAAAATCGATTGGAAATAAAAATATTTTTCTATTCTCTCTCATTAAATCCTATGTTTAAGATATATCCATAATATTAATTTTAATAGTATAAAAATAAATGTTTTGAAAAGTAATTTGAAAACAAGACCATTTTCTTCCCTCTCGGTGGTGGGAAAACAATTCGACCATTTTGGGTCAAATGGATTAATAAATAATGCCATAATTAAATAATAAAAAATTAAAATAAATAACTATGAAATGTAAGAAGTATTTTTATTAATGATGAAAATGTAATGCCAAATTCAAAATCTACCTAGAAATTAAATGATTTCATAGTCAAATAATAAAATTTTTAATAATAGAAAATACAAAGAATCACAAAAATAAAAAAAAATAGGGAAAATTTTGGGCACATATTTAATGTTATATACTTATAAAAAATAAAATATTGGGTACATCTCTAATATTGTACATTCATTATATTGAACAACAAAAATTTGTACATAAGAAATAATTTTATCAATGATGGAAATGTAATACAAAAATTAATGTCAACCTAGAAATCAAACAATTTTTATATAATTTAATTGAAATATATAATTTAAAGGGAAAATTATAGTGAAAATCGGTTGTACATTTAAAATTAGGTTGCAGGTTGGTCTAGAAACCAACAAAACTCTGACAATTGTCTCTACATTTCAAATTATAAAAACCCACGCCATGTCATCGGAGGCTTATGTGGTTGTTGCCAACATGGAACTCGTATTCCATGTTGAACACAACAAAAAACCTATACCGAAAATAGGTTTTCAGTTTCTCTCCCACTTTCTTTGTCTCTCGATCTCCCGCTCCCTCTGTCTCTCCCACTCTCTCAGCTTCGGTCTATTGCCAAATCAAAACCCCTCTCTCTCAATTGTTCTCCCTTAATCTTTCTCATTCTTCTCCCTCACTCTTCCTCTCAATCAATATTTCCTTCTCCTTCAATCTATATCGTTCTCCAGTTGGTGTAAATTTCATAGCCAAGCGTTTCTTGTGAATTTTTATCAAATTGGTGTAATAATTTTTGAACTATACCAAGTTGGTCTCATGTTCTTTTATACGAGCTGATTAATACCATATGTGTGTAAGAAAATTAAAAAAAAAATGAGAGGGAGCGGGAGAGAAACTGAGGGAGAACAATAGAAATTAAGGGAGAATGAGAAATCGACCGAGAAAGAGAATGAGAGAGATTGAGGGAGAACGATAGGTAGAGAGAGAGAGAATGAGAGAAATTGATATAGAGAACGTAAATACAGAAACTAAAAACCTTTTTTTTTTCCAATCACCAACATTAAAGGGCAATTTCAATATAAGCTTTTCGTTGTGTCCAATATGGATTAAAGTCCCATGTTGGCAACATTCACATAACCCTTCGATGACATGGTGAGAGTTTTTCTAATTTGAAATGTAGAGCCGGTTGTTAAGAGTTTTGTTGGTTTTTCACCAACTTGTAGCCTAATTTTAAATGTACAGCCGGCTCCGACTATAATTTCCCTAATTTAAAACTAATTCAAAAGTAATGCTATTTTCTTATTTAGATGGTGGGTCAATGATCCAACTTTTCAAAGAAACCTATGATGTCATAATGTCATAATTGGATAATAAATATTTAAGTTTATTTTTATTCATATTGTTATTGGAACTCGTGTATCTGGACGGTCAAATTCCCAACGTACCATTTGATTTCAACAATATTGGCATCAAACTTTGTTACAATTTTCTTTTCTTTCAGTGTTATTCCCCAGCAGAGGTGGCATTAAATTGACGATTCTTATTTTATTGTTGTTTATGGTGCAGGATGCTGTAAAAGATATCGAGTAGATATGCCTCCATGAGAAATTTTACCTGAAAGTCTGATTATGAGGATGTTTAAATGGTTATAAGAAAATGTAAATTAGACTGGCAAATCACAGTGATGTAATTATTTGTCTAATAGAACGGACTCAATTTTTGAAGTGTGCTTTCAGTGTCATGAATTTGCGCACAGAACTCATGAAATAAATCATGAATTTTCTTGCCGTTCATCGGGCCTCGGCATTTACAGATGTACATTAAAGAAGAGGCTGCTGCAAAAGCTTGTAACAACATTTGGAGGTCAAGAAAGAAAAGAATAACACGATACCATCTGTACCATTATCTTCTGCTAATAATGACGGTGAAAAAAGTGAACTTTTGATTTGGCATTGCCTTTGCTCCTTTGAACCGACTGGATTTGAAAATGTTGTGGAATTTTTATTCGAAATCTAGCTGTGTAGTGGGTTTGATTTGATGCTGAATGCCTTATTCCCAAGAGTTATGGGTAAAGGCATTCAAATTTTCACGGTTGATCTCAGGTTTTAAAGTATGACCAGGTATAGAAAACATTAAAGATCTCACAGTGATGTCTAACATTTTTATTGGTTCACTTTTGTATTCACAGTACAATTTTTCCATCTTAGTTATTGTCCAAATTTTGATATACTAAAATGAAATATAGGCATGCATTGGTTTCCAAAGGGGTTGACACACACTTAGGTGGAATGGCCTGGTACCATGGTTTTAAAAATCGCCACCAGTTTCTGGGTTGATGGTCCATGACCTAGTAAATCTCACTCATATACTGTGCCTTTATTCCACACTTCTTGTACTCCATTAATTGGGGTATTTTTTTTTTCAAAATTTCAAATATTAAATGCCATAATTAATCCAAATCCTATCATTTAATCTCTTTTTGTTAAATAAAGATTTAATTAATTAATTAAAAAAATTCAGCTCACTTTATTAGTCAGATTTGAAAACGAGTCTTCCACATTTGTATATGATTACTCACCATAAAGCCATCATCCAATGATATTCTAAATTTCTAATATACTGTGCTTGGAGAGGGATCTTAACGGCAAGAGACCTTAGCAAGGGTAGTGGATGGGAGATGGGGAATGGTAAAGCAATTAACGTTTGGAATGATAGATGGGCTAGAGATACACCGATTGCTGATTATGTTACCCATGATTCAATTGAAAATAACGATCTCCTAGCTAGTGAGGTTTTGGATCATGAGAGAAAAGGTCTGGAGTGAAGATAAAGTGTGTAATCTAGTGCCAAGTCACATCTGGATAGGATCAAATTGATATTCATTCCCCCGGGCCCAAAGAATGATAGAATGATTTGAAGATTAAACTCTAATGGTATATTCACTACTAAGTTAATATTAAAAGTAAAATTCTGTTGGAATGAGGGATGATTTTAATTGGATTCCCAAAGTGTGGAAATTGAAATGCCCCCCTAAGAAAGTTTTCCTTTTCCTTCTCCTTAATAAAACATTTCTATGGAAGAATCTTCTAAGGAGGAGAGGAGTTAATATTGATGGTAGCTGCAGGCTCTGCCGGGGGAAGAGGACTTAAACCATATATTTAAGAATTGTATATTTGCAAAGCAAACTTGGATGCCTATTAATACAAATATAATGGGACCAAATGTCCAAGACTCTTCATTGAGAGATTGGTAGCCCAACGTTAGTAAATGTTTTATGGAGGATGGAGATAGGATAATGGAGAAATGTGTTTTCATTCTATGGCATCTTTGGAAAAATAGAAACAAAGATCTTTCAAAAACTCATCATCCCCCATCATATGGTTTTAGAAAGAGCCCTAAACTCCTTAGTGGAATACCATGACTATCAAAAATCCCAACATGAACAAGACCCCTAAGACATGGAAACACATGAAGTTGCAATCACCTAAGATTGACATGATTAAAATCAATTTTAATGCTTCCTGTATCGATGGTGGCATGTGTTCGATTGCTAATACTACAAGAAACCACCTAGGTGAAGTTGATGCCGAAGCATATAATCTTGGTGTGGCAACTATTAACATAATTGAAGCTCGGGCTGCCTGGGAAGCCCACAACCTGGTGTTAAACTTCAAAGATAATCTTATTATTGTAGAGGAAGAGTCAAAGCTTGTGATTTCCTGCCTGCAGCAAGTGATAGCCTCCTCCCCCTCTCCCCTTAAAACCTTAAAAACATCATTCAAGACTGCCTATAGATGAAGGAGCTATTCGAGAATGGATTGGTGTGCAACATGTTTTCAATGAGGCAAATCAATCTATGACTGGATAGCTCATGAAGTGTAGATGACTGTGGATGGTTTTGTTTATCTTAATCTTTTTAAGTTTCCATGGCCTTTAGCTTTCATTTGTTCTAGTGGCTTGTGGGAATGTGCTAATCCAAATAAATAGTGATATGAATAAATGTTTAACAAGAAAATTAAAAATAAAAGTTAATGATTAAAATAAGAGTAGAAAACTGTTGAATCAAAGAATCTGTAGAGAAAAGAGATATTTCTTGAAGAAGAAGAAGAGAAAGAGAAGAGAACAAAAGAGATTGAGAAAGGAAAAGAGAGCAATCAGTTCTAGCCACCCTCCACACTAGTATTTTTACTTTTAAATAAAAAGGGTACAATGACTAATATGCCTTTATAGGGTGACTTCCACATAAAACTGTATAAATAACTTTAAAGAACCACTGAAAAGGGACCCAACAAGAGTGTTGTGATCCTCACTTCTTGTCTAAACAAATAATAAATAAAAACAATTACTAGATGTGCACAAATTTGTCCAAAAATCTCAACACTCATCAAGTTGGGAGTAAATGTCACACATTCCCAACTTGCGTAGGTCATGTTCAAGTTTGTTCTTTGCAATCCCTTTGGTGAGGACATTAACTAACTGTAATTCAAAGGAGACATAAGGCAGACAAACTTTTTCAATTGTCACCCTCTCTCTTATGAAGTGTCTATCAACCTCAATGTGCTTTGTCTTGTCATGCTAAACTGAATTGTGGGCAATATTTATTGTAGTTTGATTGTCATAATATAACATCATGGGCTCTTCAGCTCTTATCCCAATCTCATTCAACAAGTATCTAACCCAAAGTACTTCTGAAACACCATGGGCCACAGATTTAAATTAGGCCTTTGCACTTGACCTAGCCACAATTGATTGTTTTTCTCTTCCATGAAACTAAATTTTCTCCCAAAAATGTGCATACCCTTGATGTGGATCTCCTGCCATTTAAACAACTTGCATCTATATAGGACTCCAGTTTTAAGTTCCCATGGTTTGAGAATAAAATCCCTCTGCTAGGATGCTTTTTTTAGGTATGCAATATCCTCTCAATGGTTTCCCAGTGCTGAACTTGAGGAGCATGCATATACCAACACAACACTACCAATATAGGAAATGTTTGGATGTGTCATACATAAATATAATAGCCAACCTACCATCCTCTGATATCTCCTCACATCCTTAACCAACTCACCATCCAAAGCATCAATCCTATGGTTTGGGTAAATAGGAGTATCATCTGGTTTAGTTCCTAGCTTCCTAGTTTCCTATAGTAAGTATAATAAGTTTAACACATACTTTCTCTAAGAGATGAATATCCCTTGCTTGGATCTTGCGACCTCAATCCCTAGAAAATATTTTAGTTCACTTAGATCATTGATCTCAAATTCTTTTTTAGTTACTTCTTGAGTGTATCAATCTCTCTCAGATCATTCTCTGTAACAACTATATCATCCACATACACAATCAATATTGACACAAGTGCTTCTCTCCTTTTCACAAAGAGAGTATGATCAGATCGAGTTTGTGTGTATTCAAACAAGATAAGTACCCTTTTGAACATATCAAACCATGTCCTAGGTGATTGTTTCAAACCATATAATAATTTCATTTAGCCTACAAACTTTTCCCTCACCAACATTTTCATAAAAATCAACTAGAATGTCCATATATACCTCATCTTGCAAATCACTATTAAAGAATGCATTTTTTAACATTAAGTTGGAAAATGGGCCATGAATAGGTAGTTGCTAGAGAAGAGAATTTGAACTGAACTCATCTTAGCTAATGGTGCAAAGGTCTCTAGGTAATCAATACCATAGGTCTGTGTATACTCTTTTGCAACCAACCTTGCCTTATACCACTCTATACTATCATCATCCTTGTACTTCACAGTGAACACCCATCTATATCCGACTGTCTCTTTGTTTGTAAGAAGATCAACTACCTCCCATGTCTGGTTCTTAACCAAAGCCTCTATTTCTTCTTGCATAGTTATTCTCCACTTAGGTTTGAAGACAACTTCACTGACTTCCCTAGGTATAGACACAAAATCTAGGAAAGAAAGGAATGCACGATTGGAAGGTGATAGTGCATTGTAGGAAAGATGGCATAAAATGCAATGGGTTGTATACTTTCTCTTTCCGTTGCGGAGTGTAATAGGAAGACTAAGATCAATGGGATAAGTTACAATATCAATGTTAGGTATAGAAACATCATCATCAAAGGAAATAATAGGCTCAGGCTCAAGGGAAATACCTAGAACTATATTAGTCGAACCTAGAATCTCAGATAGACTAACGAAGAGTGGTACATGTTCTTCTATTGGAGCATGTGTGGAGTCAACCCTCTTCATGCATTGGCACTAAAAACATTATGAGGTTGGCCGTATTGGATAAGGTAGAGGGACTAGAGTTGTCGATGGTGGAACAACAGGTGGAACTGATGGGTCAGATGAAGGAAGAGGATCAGATTGTAAGTTCTCCCCAAAACATTTCCCCTTAGGAGAACCCCTAGAGAAAAAGAATGTAGACTCAAAGAAGGTAACATCCATAGTGACAAACCTGTTCCCCGACATTGGATCATAACAACTATACCCCTTTTGTTTTGAGCATACCCAAGGAAAAAACATTTCTTGACCTTAAGATCCAACTTCCTGTGATGATGACGAAAAATGTGAATAAATCAAACACACCAAAAAACTCTCAAAGGTATATGAAATATCTCCCTATCTAGAAAATGAAGACTGAATGGCATTTTAAACCCCAAAATCCATGAAGGTACATGATTAATCAGATATACAACCATGAGAACTACATCCCCCCAAAAACGAATAGGAATTGAAGCACACACAATAAGACTTTTTGTCACCTCCACAATGTGTCTATTTTTCCTCTACTGCTCCATTTTGCTACGGTGTATATGCACAACTACTTTAATGAATCACCCCATGCTCCGAAAAATATGTGGACAAATCCTTCTCAAAGCATTCCTTAACATTGTTTTGTTAGACAGTGTATGCCCTTACCTCCAATCAGATTGATGTACATTTGACATTTATTGTAAATGAATAAAAGTA